ACAGTGCGCCGATAAACAATCTAGTTAAGACCTTTATACGTGTGTCTAACATAACAATGTCAAAATTTGAAGTCAATATATCAAAATTATCTCTTTCCAAATAAAGTGCAAAAATTAATTAATTTTATTTGAATAGTATGGAGCAATATGCCTTCATCACCTTCCTCAATTTTGTATGATTGTTTAATGGAATTTTGACCATGAACACTATTCTTTATCTCTATATATTTATAAAATATTGAATGTCCGTTTGAAAAAAAAACTTGAATAATAATGCATTTATATGGATGACTGCATGAACGACACATATCCCCATTTTTAAAAACAGAAATTAAAGTATAACTCAACCTTTTCGATTGACAATGATTAATTATTCCTTTACGTCGACTCGACAATATTTCAATCTCGGCCAAACTTATTTGAAAAAAAAAATCTCTGAAACAAAAGCAAATCATGATGTTTGTAGTAATGCGGTGTATAAAATCCTTAATAGTTATTTTTAAGAAAGTTGATAAAATACTTAAGACTTTGAAATTTTATAATTAGATAAAGGAACTGCACGTGTATTTAACTTTCCTAAGATTCATCGGAGTTTACTCTAACAAAAAATCTATTTTGTTTCCTTCTGTTCAATTTGCTATACTTTGTTTTTTTCTTCCAGTGGGTCTCTAAAATAAACTTTTCATTAAAATCTACCCTCTATGATATCAGTGTCAATTGTATTTTTTTTTTGTACAGAATAATGTATGCCATCTCCAAGTAACGCTAGCTACTCAGCAATGGCTCTTCTTCTATTGGTTGTTGGGGAAAAGGAAGTAAACGAACAATTAACACTAATAAATAATCTAAACTGATCCTGATAAATCAGACGTAGATATACTATATTGTTTCTCTATCACAGACAGAACCATAATTCATTTTTAACTAAAAAAGATAACGGTTTGAATTGGCAATATAGGATTAAACATTGATTTACTGAATTTTAGAGCAAAAGCATATTGTCGACCATCTGATTCTCTGTCGGAAAACCCTCAAACTATAATATTTCGCCAGTTCTTTACCACAGACACATTTTTTCTTTTCTCATTGTGTACTACGCAAATGACATATTTGCGATAAAAATTTCACTTACCTGCATTGCAGAATTTTTTGTCTATTCCGCAACCATTAAACATCAACAATGCTAATAATTCTTAAATTCAAAACGTTAATTAAAAGTAACGTAAAACTTCCTGATAAAAGTCAAACTTTTCACTGACATCCCACAGTATGTTACTCCTTCGCTCGTTAAAATGAAGGATCGAAATATAACTTATAATACGAATTTTAGCTTAAATGTTCCGTACAAATTGTAAGGCCTTTGTTTTATTTTTATACAAAATTGACTGCGGTATGTTCCGCCTACCTGTTCAATACACAGGGATAAAGGTTGGTGTAACAGGAAAACAGGAGGTTTTGACTTCTCGAAGGCACTAGACCCAACACCTAGAACATTCGGGGGCCATGCTTGTTTCCTGCTCACATATTTGTACTGTTGATAGATATTTTAAATCGTTGTTTTCGTCACCGTTTTCATTAATTAATTTTTAAATTATTAAGGTTATGATCAACATCGATCTTATGATAGAAATCAGTCGACTCAATTTTCTATAAATTTTTAAATATATTCCAGCATATTTATGTGCATAGCTATAGATAGTAGTATTTTGCAACATTCAAATCAATAATGAGGCCTATCCACGACATCATGGGTTACAAGTTATAGCTATATTTAACATATATCAAACACTTATTTCAAACAAAAAACAAACGTCGACCATAGAGAGACATGGAAGTATGCACAAACATTTTATCACAATCAGCAAATCGAAATCCCACCATGACCAAGGGAATTGGAAATAACTATGTCCCCTTTGAGATAGTATTCCATCCAAAAATCATATGAGACGAATCAGCATTGAACATGCCCTAACAACATCATTCGTAGACAATAGTTTTAGACAAAAACGAATTATAATCAAAATTTTAACAACCATCAATAAAGTTCATATATAAATGAATTAAAATGTTTGGTACATGCCAAGCAAAGTAGGGATAGATTGATAAAACAAGTGTAAAGTTGATGTGAATCAATGTACGGCATTTTAATGAAATCTAAAATTTACTGTTTCTTAAAAGTAAATAAATTCACCGCATTTTCAACAAACTTTTAAGTCCCCTACCAGTAAAACCGGAGGGTACTTTAGGTTTCTTCTGTATCCATCCATCCGCATGTCTGCCAAATCGATATCTAAAATTTACTGTTTCTTAAAAGTAAGAAAATTCACCGCATTTTCAACAAACTTTTAAGTCCCCTACCAGTAAAACCGGAAGGTACTTTGGGTTTCTTATGCATCCGTTCATCCGTTGTTTGCCTGTCCGCTCGTGTATCCTTCTGTCAGTATGTCCCAGTGTGTTTTTCGTATTTTTTTTCTAAACACTTGCAGAGATTGGACTGATTTGGTATGTGAGCGTATCATGATGAGTTATAGATCAAGATTGCATTCCAAATGTACTTTAAACCTGAAAACTTATTTTTCTATGGAAAATGAATACAAATACACCTACCGTGCGTTCCTGATCATAACTGGGAAAAGGAAAAATCTGTCGACAATTCATGTGTTGTTAACGATCTTACAATTAGTAGGAGAAACTTCAGTCAGCATTTGACTTAAGGAAGTTGGTTCCAGTTATCAAAAGTATTGAGAATTTTTTGTAAAGTATATTTTTTAAAATCCACATACACAGCTTAATAAAAAATCAAAACAAAAATGGGGGCCAGTGTGCTTCTTTTAGCACTATAGAGCAATTAGTGTGACCCTTTTGCACTTCAATTACGTCTTACACATAAATCAACTTTACTTTAATATTTTTAATCTAAATGAATTATTGGATCAAACACAGTCGTTTTTCATCTTAAATAGTCATATTAATATTTTGACAACAAAAATAGTTTCAAATTACTTCGCATGGTAAATTATTTGACCTTTCTGCACTCAAAAAATGTTATTTTTCTGGTTTTAAAAACTTAAAAAGCAATAAGAATCATTTAAAAGAATTGTTTTTTTTTTATCTGAATTTAAGCAGAGTGGTTAAAATTGTTCAACATTGTGATGTTAGCTTTTAGATATTAGTAAAATATTGTTAATTTTAAGCTTAAATTGGGCTTTTTTTAAGGACTTTCACGATATATATTTGAGATATATATTTGATATATTTGCCAAATATGAAAATGAATTCATGAGTTAGTTTAATATATAATTTAGGACAAGCATAGAACATTTCAATGCACACAATTACTCTGTGTGCAGGCAGCATGTAAAAGATAACAATGCTTAATACTTTAATTTCTAAAAGGATCATTTTCTTTGAAAAAAAAAAAAAACCCGTCCGCCACAAAATATAGTTCCTCACTAAATGTTTTCAGTATTTAGAAATCAAATTTAACCCAAATTTATTCTTTGAACAAACAATTATATAGATTTTTTAAAAAATAGAGGTCAAGACAAAAATCTGCTGAAAAGCTGAGGAGCGAACCTCAATGATAGATTTATTTGCTTGTCATTCATTGTATAGACCATAGAGAATACAAAATGATGACTTAAGACGATAAAAAAGAAAATGTTGATATTCTTGTTTCATCAACTTGTTTGTCAATATTTTTCTTAATTCTGGAAATCGTAAAGCGTTCTCTTGCATATCGCATCAACTGAAGTTTGTATTTAGTTTCGCTTTAATGCTTTTGGACGAAACTATCAATTTCAATTTTTACTGGAAGCAGATTATAATAGCAAATTTGCAGTTTTCAATGGAAACATTATATTCTCAGATTGCTTCTTTATTATGGCATTCCGTGCAGCAAAGCTTCGTTACTTAATGTACTTTATCTGATATTTTTAATGGTTTTCCCCCCAAATAAATAGTGCTTAAAATTCTATAATTAGTGTCCTTTTTTTCTATGTAACTTTACTATTACTACTTACTATTAGGACTTCCTATGTCACTACACCTCCGTAAAGGAAATATCAAACAAAGAAATATAAAGCTTAGTTAACAAGCTTAGATATATATCATATAGATTGGTCGAATCAGTTTCTGAACTTCCATGCCAAACACTTTGTGTGAGGAAGCTCACGATTGAATGGCTAATCGCTAATGCTATCATGTTGATCCTATAACGTGTTTTTCTAGTAAAATATCCAAATATGAAACAGATGTGTCAGATTCTGAATTAACTTTAATTTCAAGCTCACATTCTATGGGTCTATCATATCGACATGATTATGAATGGGAATAATTATTGTGAATTGATAATACTTTGAAGAATATTGAAATGAATGTTGAATTGAAGGCCACAGCAACTGTTTTATTCTTTGTATGCCTTTGATTTTGAATAAATTCTGCTTCATAGTATACAAAAATAAGCTTGCTAATAACGGGTGCAACTGATAGTCACGAAATGATCGTTGAATGACCTTGTCTCCAAAACACACATATATTTTCATTCGGGAACTCAAGAATTTTTAAAAATCAACTTTTAATAAATTGGAGTAATTTAAGAATTGAACAAAATTTGCATGAGTTATGCAAAATTGCTAAACGTCATTTTGCCTGTTTGTGTGTCACACTGTCGCTTTGTTTTATTTTGGG